TTTTCTCTGGGACTAAACAGCTGGGGGCTGGGCAGGATACAAAATCTAAACAAGCAGGCCCGGCCTCCTCATGTTACAACTTCCATTTTGTGCCTCCTTCTTTCTCTCCGTGTCTGGCTCCCAAATCTACCTTCCTTCTTCCCAGAGTTCTCTCTCTGCCCGGAAGTCCCACCTTTACCTCCCGCCTAACTATTGGTCATTCAACTTTTCATTACACCAACCACATCAATACATCTTCACACAATGTGCAGATATCCCAGAACACCAGGGACAAGAGAGTCTCCCATGACAGCTCAATCTCTTCCCAGGACACATGAGATGTCTTGGCCTAAGGCCAACTTCCACTCCATAAAGCTGGGAAGATGGTATTTGTTCGTCCATCTGAGCCCCATGTTATATCTGTGATCTTCTTGATGTCCTCAGTCCTTCAGAGATTTGAAGACAATGGTTCCCTGAGCCACCTTCACAAGGCCAGTCAGCCACTTCCTCTACCTATGTCCTATGACCCAGATGTCCCCTGCTCTTCCAGAAGTCTGTTCAGCCCAAGGCTGGGCTCTGTGGTTCCTCTTGCCTTTCAGGGGTGGTCTCTGGCCTACTGGATTCCCATGGGTTTGTCCTTGTGCCACCTTGTTCAAGGTGCCCTTTGCAGGTGATATCATGGAAACTGGCTTGGGGGTGGTGTCACCCCTGTGATGGCTGAGCTGGGTCACCCCCTCCCCTTGTGTGTTTCAAGCCTGGGACAACCAGAGTCTCTTCCTAGTGACTCGATCAAGGCCTTCTACAACAAAAGACAGTAGACTGAACTTCTCTGCCTGATCTCCTATGTCCCTTGTGGCACCATAGCTGCATGCTAGACCTGTCCTCCCCAAAGTTCTTCCGGGATCCCTACTTGCTAGTAAAGACATTTATCATTTTCTGTGATTAGTGAAACCAGAGTGTTCCCCCGTCCACACACACATACACTGAAAATAGGCAACATTTATCAACACCATCCTGTGTGCCTAAACACCTGGTTTAGGGCATCTCAGAATGGGGAAGAATCCCTGGCCCCCACTACTCCTAATGGTAAACTGAGACGTGGGGTCGTTGAACAACTTGTCCAAGGTCACAGTTCAGGGACCTTGTGCTGGTGGCAGGGGTTGGTCCACTGTGGGAATGTGTTTGGCTACAGAGCCTGGGAGGTTTTAAGGAGCAATTTCTGCCCTTGCAGTTATTCATTAAATGCCAGCTCTTCCACAGCTATTTTCAGTTCCCTGAAGGTGCCTGTGGGTCTGACATAGTCCATTCCTTTTACCCCGGACACCCTTCAATTTAAATGCCCTCCACCCGGTTCATACCCTTAGAAACAGGGTTTCATGTATTCTTAGCGAACTAGAACTTGTGGCTGAGGGCGACCTTGAACTTTGGGTTTTTCTGGTTCCATCTCAGGTGCTGGGAATGTCAGCGTGTGCCACGAGGCCTGGTTTACAGTGCTGGGGACTGAACTCAGAGCTGCAGGCAGGGTAGGAAAGCTCTGCCAACTGACCACCTCACCCTGCGGGTTTCAATACAGTGTCTCCTCTTCCCCTGGAGTGGGTACCCCTTACGTACTCCACTGCGCACTGACTTGAGCAACTTGGGTCTGCTGCTCTTAGATCCAGAAAACTCCAGAGAGATAATATGTTATCAGATGCCTGGTTCAACCCATGGGGATTTCCTGGGGACCCTTTTAGTGTGACGAGCCGTTCTTGTGACTGAGCAGAGAGGATCACACAGGAATTCTGGCCTCAAGAGCCCAACCCATCTCATCAGGCTTGCTTTGCCAGCGCTAAAGACAGCCATAGCTTCGCTATAGTTTGTGTGAGAGAACTATACTTCGGAGCAGTTAAATACCCTGCGAGGGTGACAACGCACGGTTTGGAATCGGGGCATGTGACTGGAATCTTGGGTCCCCTGACTGGCACTGTGTCCTCTCATTCCCACACCCTGTCCTTTGGTCGTTAAGCGTATCTTGCTAAGTCAAAACTCCTACTGAACTCAGCCTAGCCCTCACACCCACCTAGACACCTGTCACCTAGACACCCGTTCAGGACTAAGAGCAAGTCCCTGAGCGCTGATGGTGAGTGGAGAGACACTCCTGAGAGCGAGTCAGGGTGTGTATGTGTGGTGGGGCGTCCGCCTGTGTCTGGGGTGTTAGGGTAGGGTAGCAGGATCAGAGAAGGATCTAGACAGGGGGCTGACTCCGAGGGGCTTGTGCCAGCAGAGGGAGAGCCTGGAGGAGGTGAAATGCCCTGGGCACCCCAGGAGTGAACCTCAGGTACAGGGTGCCAGGCTTGCAGCAATGCAGAATCCAGGCCAGGAGGGGTGAAGATCAGGGGACATGGAGGTGTCTCCCCAGAAATGGGTTGTTTAGAGAAAAATAAAAGCTAGAGAAGGCCATCAGAGGCAAAGGGAGGTGGCATTTTTTTGGTTTGGAGATACGGTTTCAATATCTTGGGCTGGCCTTGAACTTGCTATGTAGCTGAGAATGGCCCTCTTTGCCTACACCTCCCGGATGCTGGAATTACAGATGCATGCCACCAGAACCAGTTTATACTGGAGCTAGGTACCAAACATAGAGATTCCTACAGGCCAGACAAACACTCTGCTACACATGCGTACACATACACACACACACACACACACACACACACACACACACACGATTCACACAGGCACACCATGTCCTATTTCTAGAACATTCCATCACTCATTTATTAACAGTGTTCTGCCTTTGCATTGTTATAAGTGTTACATGTAAGAGCACGCATCCTTATCTCCTTGTCTTCTGTTACTTAGACCATTTTGTTCCATATCGGATGGCGAGGCCAGCAGGTGTTTGTGACAGAGAAAGTGATTTGAGGGGCTGGCAAGTTGGCTTAGCAGGTAAAGCCTTGCTGCCAAGCCTGCTTCTGTGACTTCTGTCTCTGAGCCCACCTGGTAGGAGAGAACCAACTCCTGTGAGCTGTTCACTGATCTCTGCATGTCCTATGGCCATGCATCCCCACCCAGCCTTCCCCAGGGAGAAGACACTCGGTCAAGGAGGAGGAAGAGAATGCAGAATAGATGGTGCTGGCCGCAGCGCGTGTCATTACCAAACATGTGCCTTCGCTAATGGTCTCTTTCCTCCAGAGGGCAGGGGCTCTGTCTCCTTCAGCAGTGGACCCCCTTCGGTGTCTGGCAGACAGTAGACAAGTATTTTTTATGGAGTTGAGTTCCCAGGGCTATGTAGAAGTTCCTGTGGTTAGGCCATAGGGAGAGAAGTGGTCATGAATGTTGCTCACTGCGAGAGAGAGAGAGAGAGAGAGAGAGAGAGAGAGAGAGAGAGAGA